TTACTGAACCCGCTAAAGTTAGAAGTCCACTCTCATAGGTAGCAGGAACAGTAAGAGACGCCATACACGTCTTGAGATCCACATCGGTGACCAGGTTATGAGGACAATGTAATGACTGCATGGATCTAAATTACTGCCGCTCACGCTTGGCGTAAGCTAATCTGTGTTCACCTGCGTACTTACATCGGGGGGGGGGGGGTATATGAGTATGGGTGTGTGTCTGTGTGTCTGTGTGCGTGCTCTCTCTCTCTCTCTTTCTTTCTCTCGTGTCTGAATCGCCTCCCATGATCCACTTGGATGAGAGAGTTAACTGCAACTGCAAATACGACTGCAACTCTGGCCGGTCCACTGCCGTGCGTTTCCAGCCATCAAAGGGGTGGGGGGCCCCCTTCGATAGAGGAAGCTTCCCACTTCGATTCCCGACTCCCTTGCTTTGGCCCCCCACCCCTTGCCCTGACCCATCCTGCATCTATTTGGTGCAAGGCGGTGTGGAAACCGGGGCGGAGAGGCCAGTACTCGGGAGAGAGGAAAAAAGCTGTGAGTGCGTGCGTGCGTGTGTGTGTGCCTGTAAGGACACACAGTCTGTGGGAGCCAGTCTGGACAAGACCCTTGCTGCTTGGAACCTGGGACAGGAATCCCGCGCTGCCGTTTGCAAGCCCCCATGCCCGCTTGATGCTCCTCCTAGGCTCCTGGTCTGCTCCGTCATGCCTGCTGCTGCTGCTGCTGCTGCTGCCGCTGCCGCTGCTGGCACTGGGAGTGAGAGGGATGGGTGGTGCTGGCACTTGGGGACACTGAGACCGTGCCGATGACCCATGTATCACCCACGTCCCAGGGGACAACCAGGAACCCGGTGCTGAGGACTATGCGGAAACGCCGTACCTAGTACTTTCTCGAGCTGGTCGCCGATGGGCGTGCTCCGAGGTTGCCAATACATCCATCCGTCCGTTCCCGCCCCAGAAACAGCCGGCTCAGGGAAGAAGCAGAGACAGAAGATGGGGTCGCCATGGCCTGCGACCATCCTGGAGCAGCCATGTCACCCTCTCCAGCCGTTGCCTCCAAAGCGAGAACAATGGGCGGCGAACGACTAGTCGAGTGCGCGGCGGCAGACAGGGCCAAGCATCTGCCCCATTTCCCCTCCCGCAGAGCTGGCGCGCGGGTCGAAACACGAACGAACGACTTCCGCTTCGCCTCGCGTCGTACATAGTAGCATCGTCCACCAGAATCATATCCCAAGCTTCCACCTCGAACCAATGGGCAAGACGCAATCAGAAGAAGAGAGGGACAGAGAGAAAGGAGAGAAAAAGAGAGCGAGAGCGAAAGGAAGCAGGGCGGGAAGTACGCTCGCAGAGTAATGCCCACCCAACAGCAACTGATTCCGAATCGTCATGGCAAACGAATGAATGCTGATGCATCGGCTGGGGAAACACCCCCCCTCCTCTTCGCCGCCGCCCTCCCTCCCTCCACCATCTCAATGCTGCTCAGCCACACAAGATTGGAGAAGGCTGCTGGCAGCCGCCCCCCATCAAGACTTATGTGTGCCGTGGAGCAGAACAGAGAGAGGCGGAGGACGGAAGAAGGGGGGGGGGGGGGGGGGTAACACACCCCACCCCCGACGCCTCTAGATCTCTACAATCGTCACCTCATCTTCATCTTGCTTTGCCAGGGTATGGCCGACCAGACGGTGTGCGCTACATCCCGTGCGTGCATCGCGAGCGAGCTCGTCGCCTGGAACGAGCTCGCTGCCTGCTTGAGCCGAGCACGTCTTCTTTTCTTTTTCTTTTTGTGACGTGGCCGTGATGCTGGAGAGAAGGGGAGGGGGAGGGGGGCCTGTGACCATCTCTTTTTCTCGCTCTCGCTTATCAATTTTTCCATGTCCACGTGAGGGACAGCGGAGAACAACCCCGAATGACAGCGAAGGGGGGGGCCGGGCCTCACTAAGGCTAAAAAAGCTGAAAGGTTGGTACCCGTTGTACTCGAGACAACACTAGGCGGCGTCTAAGCAGGTTCGGGTAGCCGTTGAAATGTTGGCCGCCGTTATTTTGCCTCGCACCGCCGTGTTTGTACCTCATTTCCAACGAACCAGCCACCTCTCGGCTCGGTGCGCTCGCCATCACTCTAATGTGTCGTCTCCGCTCACCGGGAATGGTGAACAGCGGGCGAGCCAACACGCCAGACCTGCATGCCTGTGGCAGCCAGAAATACAGCTTCTTGTGAATCGCGTGGCTTGCCAGGGTGTGACAGGAGCAATTATCCCCTCCAGAGACTCAGCCAAAACCAGGGCTCTTGCACCACTTTGGGCAGAACTGCAAGCTTGTCTCTGGGACGGAGGGAGGAGAAAAGGAAGCTTTCCCAATGTCTCCAAGGTTTAACCAGCCCCCCGGGGCTCGAACCGGGTTGGGTGGCATTTGGCCATGCCCTGCCCAACCCCGGCTAACCGCCTCTGTCCCCTCACTCTCTCACTCTCCCCCAACTTCTCCCCCAAACTCTTGACTGGACGAAAAAGAAAGAGGGTATAAAAGAAAAAGAAGAAAAAAAAGAAAGAAAAAAGAAAAAATGGTACAAAAAAGGGAATAGCGGTTGTGGGACAGCGAGGTCGGGTGGGCCCACTCATGCAATGATGGCTGAGACAGCCCCGGTCATTGGTGAAACAGGAGCCACCCTGCCCAATCCCACAGACTTTTTGAAGTCCTGACCTGGTCAAGCTTGCGATAGCGTTGCCGTCTTCTGGAAGCCACGGAAATCCCAGGAATCTCTGGGGCCTCGTCTTGTCGACGCCAGCCATGCACGTAGCTCAAACCCTATATCCCTGTTTGGCCTCGTCTGCAACTCCCACTCGAGAGCTTCAGTCGAGGCCCGTGTTTGCCGCCTGTCACGACTCGCCGCCCAAGCGAATAGCCGAGTGACGAGTCTGCAAGCACTTGAGCCGGCTAGCCTCTCATGCTGAAGCAGACACCCTTATGCGCTACCGCGATAGCTCTAGTAATTGGAAAATTGTGCGAGGAAGACGGCGGGGGAATGGGGGAAACGAGCCAGCATAGATAGATAGATGGGTATGCCGCCTTTCGGCAGCAACAGGTGGTAGGTATTTTGGGGGGATTGATTGTCAAGAAGGAAAAGAGGCAACTCACGTGGTCATGCTCCTGCTTGTAGCCCCCAGAGGGCTGCCTGTTCTGGGCCATGGCTCTGATAGTCATGAGTTGATATCGAGGTGGTTTCTGCGCGCTTTTGTTAGCATCTGTCATCTGTAGCTAGTGAACCTTGAACCAGGCTCTCCGCGCCAGGCTTGCCCAGGCTTCTGACCAGACTCCAAATCATCCCAACGGGGATGTTCGTTGTCCCATACCAGCCAGCCTGGCGACATATTAGACCATCGAGGTATAGGTGTCCTGGTGCCCAACCTCTGCCAGGTCCCCCGCACCGCTTGGTTCAAGGTTTTCCCCTCAAGTCATCCGGCTCAATGGACGCGCGTAGGCAAGGACGCGTTGAGATCTGTAGGACCGAAAGGGGGAGGCAGGCCAGCTCGCTGGCTGACTGGAGCAGCCTGGGAAGGAGCCTGCTACGCGCACTCACCTTGAGGCAAAGTAAACTGGTCAGGTGTTGCTATTGATGCGTCCGGTAAACCTCAGTTCGTTCTTGGATGCGGGCGTGGGGAGGAGTGAACCTGTGATGTAGGGCAAGTCTGTCCGATATTGACGGCGTTGTGAAACAAAGGTATCCCAGCTAGCTGCAAGTCGACTCAAGTCAGCATCTTAAGTGTTTTGTTTTCTCAACTTTGATCGGAGCAAGTTCATGCGACCGCGTGAAAACACGCGACCGGGTCCCGACGGTGAGCCCCAGTAAAATAGCACACCCCTTGAAGACAATCATACAAGGAGCGAGGACGAGGGCCATGGCACACAGGAGGGGGAATGCGTTGAGTCGTGCAGGCCGAGTTCATGCGCAGACTGCAACATGGGACGTTACCGAAATTGAAACAGGACGCGCTTGGGCGTCATGGAAGCCCTATGCGGACAGGCGCCGAACAGCAACGCCTTCAGATGATGCAAATTGAAATGCAATCTCGGCGGCCGTCGGAAATACGACTGAAATCAGGACAGGACTTGACTCCCGCTCGGGCGCGTCCATCCAAGGGGGAACAGAAGACGAGAAACGAGAGATGAAAAGCACGTACCGTTCTTTGCAATCAATGGAGCGTGGGATGGTGTCAAAGACGCGTTGATGGGTTCTTTCCTTGTTGTAGTATCCGGGTCCGGGGTTTTTAGGCAAAGGCTAGGTAGCTAACCGTACAGTATTGGCTGAAGGGGGGGGTGTATGGTTCTGGTTCTGCAGCGTTTGTTCGCAGTATGCAGTACCTACACTTGTGCAGGGGGAGGGAAGCCCAGTGATGCACGGAATATGAGGCTTGCGGGCTTGGGTGTGCCAAGCTGGATCAAGTGTAGGAGATGATGAAGAGTCAAGGAACAAGTCAATCAATCTTCTGGCTTTTCTGAACCAAGGTGGCTAACAGTAGCGGGACAGAAACTTGGGTGGTGTAGTTAACTCCCTGCTCGGTTGGAGCAGTACCTAGATGCTGGTCGAGCCGGTTTGGGTAGTGTGTGACGGTCTACCAATTTTCCGGGGATGGACCAGGGAGCTGGACGAACGTTGTTCGCCGGGGCCGTGCGAATCGGTCTGGGATATAGCTGCAGGCCTTTCTATGTCCCGCTGCTAGGGGGCCTGACTTGTGCGTAGTTCTGTCTGTGTTCCGAATTAGCTTATGCAGGCCAGCCTTGCAAAGGCAACGGGTGCTGGCAACACCTCGCTCTCTCCCTCCCGCAAGGGCTAAAGAGAGCGGCTGGGGCGACGGCTTGACCAAGGTCCATGGGAGAACATACTTGACGCTGGTCAGGGGATTATTGTACTAGAGTAGCACAAGCAAGGCTGGATGATGATGCAATGCTAGACCCAGGAGGTTTACGTCGAAAAGGTGGCGGCGAGGAAGTTAAGCGTCGGAGCGACTTGTTGATGTGACTGAGACGTGTTTGTATATGATGTATATAAGTGCGCGCGCGCGCTGTGTGTGTGTGTGTATGTGTATGGGCGTGGTAACTCGAGGCAAGGGAAAGCAGAGTCCAGTGGCAAGTGGCGTGTAGGAGAGAACGCCGGGTATTTAGGCAGAGCAAGGGACACTCAAGTGATTGGCAACGGGCCCGAAGAGGAAGAGGCAAACACAATAAAATAAAATAAAATTGGGTGGGAAAAAAAAAGAGGACGAGCGATAACGCCAATGCCCAAAGAAGGCCGAAGTCCCTTGAGTTGACCACTCGATACATTGATTGAGGAGAAGCTGGGGTGTCATGAGCTGCTCCCAGGGGACGTCCATTGGGCGATGCAGTGACCCTCCAAGAGAAATGTGGGCGACAGAATCCCGGCTAAATGATTATGAGTGGATAAACGTAGGGTTAGCTTGCGACAAGAGAGGCGTGAACGGAACGGCTCCCCGGTGCGACGACAGAGGCGGGAATAGAAAATGTTGAAGAATAATATTGGCGTGATGTGCAGAGTCTAGACTCACACTCATCTTCACCGCTCCAAAAGGCTGGAGATACGTCGTCGTAATGAGCACCAACGAAGACGGTATGGGGCATCAACAGCACAAGGGTATAACGGCCTACCCAGCTAGCTAGCCCTCTAGCCCAACCCAAGCCAGGACAGACGAGCAGTCCAGGATGGGAAAAGTGACAGGTATTCGGTGAAAGAAGGTGTGGCTGGCTCTCTGTAAATATAAGCTTCGTCGACAGCTCGAGATGGCGATGCAAGTGGCAGTCTAAGGTAGCTTCACCGTTGTTGCTGCCGGGGGCCAGATCCAGGAGCTTGAACGCGCCCCCTCCCCCCCTGCGGCTGGTGAGGAATGGGATGGTTAGCCTGGGTACTATCGTATGTACTATAGTACGGACGCTTGACGTAGTCTGGTGGAGCGTTGACTGTCTTGTCGACACCGGTCGCCGTTAGCAAATCGACATCCCTTGCTCGCACCCAGAAATACCCTAGTCACCCAAGCGTCGGACCCTTAGAGGAAATGAACGCAACGGGGTGCGGGTGGTGGCTACCTCGAGGAAACCTCAAAGAACCCACGAGGATGCTCAGACGTCGTGGGTTTGGTTTTTCAATCCTCAGTCATTGTAGCGTACGTGCTCACCATCACTGCTTCGGGATGCGACGAGT